TCATGGTCATCATCACCAACATTATCCGCACCATCATCGTCGCCACCATGACAAACAAAACAAATCTCATTGGCACCACCATCAACACCCTTATCATGACCATCATCATCACCACCATCATCACCAACATTGCCACAACCCAATCAAACATTATATTCATCATTCACACCTCAACCTTCATAAGCATCATCATCATCCACGTTATCATCCTCACAAACATCACCTCCGTGTACACCACAAGAAAACCCTGCTACATAAGCCAATTCAGAGAAATCATCAGGACCAGCCAAGAAGCCACATAAGCCAACCTCCTGGAAACGCAGCTCTCAACTCGCTCAAGGTGCATGTGAAGATAAACAATGATCAAGCAGTGAAACGACAATCTCTTCCTGAATTGCTCTCAAATCTCGGACAGAATTTAATGACGCTGGGAAAGAACATGACGATCAAAACACCGGCAGCCTCTGCATCTTCCAGTGGTAATAAAATATTTTATAGCAACTGACCACCTACCCCTCCCCCAAGTCAACATTAACACTTTCCTCTCACTTACGGCAAAATTGTGACTTAGGGGAAGGGTAGGTGGTCAGATACTCAAAAAACCTCAATTGATCGCAGTTTGTTATGCTTAAAGGGGCTATGTCACTAGGATATTTCGTTGTTTTATATTTAGCCCAATAGACCTTTTCACGGTTTTTTTCTTAACATGGGCAAGTTCGGGAAAATCCGTCGACACCTCTGCAAAGAGCGCCTTAATATTAGTAAAATTGCTTACTTTGACAGTGATTTGTTGAAAACTAACGAAGAGACAGCTCATCAAAGTCGCGAAATCGTACAGACGTTTGTATGGTGGGGGGCCCCAACGTGCCCCCCACCATACAAACGTCTGTAAATTTTCGCAACTTTACGAAGCTATATTTTTGCTCTCTTAATTAAGACGTATCACTTTCAAATTTGGCAATTTTACTTATATTAAGGCGCTCTTTTCAGTGGTGTGGCCGGATTTCCTCTAACTTGTCTATGTCAAAAGTTGAAAAAACCGTGAAAGGTCTTGTCTGGTCTTAAATAATTACTTTGTACCTTTACCCATACAAAACTGAAATGCTCCTATAGAGTTATACCCTGGTTCCAGAGGCCCGTTCTCGATATACGTAAGATGAAATAACCTCTAGAACCCAGGGTAATAATGTTATGAAGAATATTTACAACAAATTTATCATAGAGAGCACTAACCAGAACATTTTTGGTGATTTTTGCATGCATAGTAATAAAGCGTTGAAAACGTTTGCCCAACTTTTTCAAGTTTCAATTCATGTACATCCCTGCCATCTGTGGCAACAGACGACAGGAAACAATGTAATTATACTTTTGAATAAGTAAATTCAAGAGTCATAATGGTCCCGTTATGGCTCTTGGTAAATTGTACCATCATTTTTGGAATTCAATAATGGAGAATTTTTTTTTAGCTTTTTATAAAGATATGAGCGTGGCATGGCCTCTTGAAGTTTCTTGTGGAGTAACTGGAACAAGCCATGCCACATTTAGCATTCTACTGTGACTGCACCATCAGGAACTGGCCTCGTAATTGCGTGAAATATAAAAGTAACGAAGTCATAACAGCGAGAAAAGGAAATTTAAATGACAGTATATTATGTGAGAAGGAGCGGATAAAATAAACCGTTGAGGAAAGATTACCTTTTTATAAAAGACCAACGTTCAGTCATTCAGTGTTTCGACACGTTTTTTCTGTGTTATTTGTAGCTTTGAAATATTAAAACGAGTAATAAATTGGACTAAAATACAGTGACACAGTGGGTTTTTATTTCTTTCAGCCATTACAGGCAATTCCGACAAAAAAGGAGATATAATGCATGGAATTCCCATGCCACAGTTTTCTTTTGATGCTGAAGGTTTATCGTCCACGGCTGCTGTAGATCCAACACATTCGCGCGGAAAGAATGTCACAGCTACCGACCTTGAGGCGCTTTTACATAAAGCTCTCGATAGAGCTAGTGGGGATGACATAGGAGGCGGAACTGCCTCTGGTGGTGGAGAGGATATGGTAGGTATATGACACAATAAAATACAATGCAACATAATACAACTGATAAAAATACAATCCAATACCATACAATACAATACAGTACAATGTAATACAATATAAAAAATACATTGCAATGCTATATAATGCAATGCAAAACAATACAAAGCAATACGGTAAAATGCATGCAGTGCTATGAAATATAATGCAATACAATACATTACAATGCAATGCAATGCACTACAATACAATACAGCAACACAAAACAAAACATTACAATACAATGCAATGCAATGCAACGCAAAGAAATGCAATGTTTTACAATACAATGGATTGCAACCTAAGGCAATGCAACGTCATACAATACAATACCAAGTTTACTTTGATACATATACAAAGCTATGCACCATGCATCACCTACCAAATCCAACTTCAACTACGCACCAATTACTTTTTCTATAGCCTACGTGTAGCCGCACCCTCCCCCCGACAAAGGAAAAACGTTTTTTCTTTGTTGGGAGGAAGGTGCGGCTACACATAGGTTACTTTTCCTAAGGAGTCAATTTGTGGAACAAAGGACCATTCGTTACTCTAAAAGATTTATTAAGATTAACTTTCTGTCTCCCTTAGCAAATACAAACTGGTAATTACTGCACGTTCAAAACACACCCTAAAAAAAAGTATATTATGTACGAAAAAATTAAAACCTCACTCACTCACTTACTCCATCACTGAAATTTGATTTTCTACAGTAACTGCGTGTCTTCTTGCGCTTAAGGCCACACAAGGATATTCACATAACTTCTTTCGAATGCCAGATGCCAAGTTTCTTACAGTAGCTCATGGTTTTCTTCCCTGATAAATATAAGTAAATTATCGTTCTCTAATTAGACAGACAATTCTTGTTTAGAAGTGTTCCTTCTTTATTATCGCTTTTCCTTCAGGAAGATGAAGATGAAGAAAAAGAGGACACCAATACGTCTTTCCCACCGAAAGTCAGTGAGTCCCCCCAACATCAGCATCTTTCTTTTCACGGCGCGGACAAGAGAAACGGGACATTTGTAGATTATCCTAAGAAACGAAGGCTTCCGGAAAACAGTGAACACTTTGAATCAGGAAGACAGAGTGCAAATTACTATCGCGATGATTTTGCCAAAGAATTCAGGCAAAGAGAAAGAAGTGCTGATAAGAATGATGAAGAAAAGATAAGCGAACCTTTTCATGGAAACCTTTTAAAGGTTGCTGACCCTAAGAAATCGAACTTAACAGACAGTGATGATGCTTTTATGGCCAACGAAATATTTGCTGAAAATATCGGTGATAATGATTCCCAAGTCGAATCTAACAAATTCAAGGCAAACCAATCGCTGTTTAATGGACCACGATCACCAGACATGAATTCAAGGTTTGAAGACACTGAAGTCGAGAATGGCGGCGAAACAGCCAACCCTGTTGTGGAAAGCTCAAAAATGACAGTTACAGGGGAAAACAAATCTAGAAAAAGAACAAAAGAACAAGCCGAAGTACTGGGAAGCGGGGATCAGCTAGATGAGGAAACCCGACTTAGAGGAGATGCGGGTAAGGATGAATCACCGGACGTTTCTGTCCTTGATGAAGATTATGGTTCCGGGGAGAACAGCGGTCAATATGTCAAGGAAATTGTTCAAAGTCCTGAAAACGACCAAGGAAGATACCATAACAAAATGGCAAAACAAGATAATATTATCCAGGAATCGGCAAATGCGGTATCAGGAGAAAAAATCGATGGAAAAAAAGCTGTGAACAACGCGGGGAATTACAAGGAGGCAAAACTAAATGGAGCGCCTTTTGAAAAAAATAGGAAGGACGCATTGAAATCAGATGAGGCCATTGATGCTAATATATCAAAAAGCAAGCTTGCGAACAAGGCTGACATCGATACTCCTAAAATAACTGAGGAACATTTGGACCAGGGCTCTACAGTAGAAAACCTCAATGAAGATTCTAGGGAGGACTTTGACCCATCGAGGACCCAGTCTGTCTCAAGCTATCCTGAAACTACCATTTCAGGAAAAGATGATGGAAAACTTTACAACTTACCGGACGAGCAGACTAATTTTCAGGATTTCCAAAGAAACCAACTAGGCAATCCGGGTCAGCCTGTTATTAATGCGACAGATGACAATTCAGGTGAAAATACCCTTGTCCAGGAAACAATGGAAGAAAGTTCTAGGGCACAAGAACAAGGCCCACTGAGTGACAACACAAGTTTTATAGACGCGCCCTCCTCAACTGATGATACGAATTCAGCGGAGATGGATACAGAAGGTACACAGTTGTCTGATCTCTATGGGGTGTCCTCTCGCGAAAACACCACTGTAGATGATGATTCCGACGAGATTCCAGTGTACATGTTATCGTCACCATCAAGTACTAAGGATTCGTTCAATGGAGAGGAAAGCACTGGGTCACCCATCTTTACAGCTCCGACGTCATCTCTGTCGACTTCATCTTCATTCTCATATTCTGAACCGTCGACGCTCACACTGGGTGATGGTTCATTTTCTTCAATAGACGATCCCTCCGAAGGAGATCAATCCACTTTTCCGAGAGAAAGAAGTAAGTGGTAGAGGAAAAAAAAGAAAAAAAAAAGCTTAACACACAATTCTGACCTAAGTGTGTCCTTTTTGCTATTGACACAGAAATGGTATTTGAGTCGAGCCAGGCGATTTCTCGTGTTTTTTCTTACTTTTTTAAGTGGCAGCCTCTATAAGTGTTTTACATTTCCACGCCTATCTGTAAACCAAATTTCTAATTAAACAATTTAATATTACGGGATTAAACCACCTTATGCTGATCTCGTTGTCTAAAAATGCAATTGAAAACATTTCCGTTGGAGCCACGCAGACCCTAGCCTGAATTTCAGACGTCCCTTACATACTCCCGAAAGAGTAGGCGACTTTAAGGGATGTCTGAAATTCAGGCTACGCGGGAGTTTTCGTTTCGGTAAATATTTCAGAGAAAGTATCAAATTGGACACCTTTCCCCTACACTTACCCAGACTTTCATGAATTCAAGTATTTCACATTCATGTTATTTGTCCTCTCTAGTTGGATTTCAAAAAGACATGCTTGATGACCCGGTAGAGGAGTCCTTAGACGCCGCTGTTGACACTAGAAGATCCAACGTGGCAGTTTCTCGTGAGACGGTTGCTGACAGTTAGATAAAAACTCGTCTCCAGAGACTTCGTTACCCTTGTTCAGCGGAAAGGGCTGCGGACGGCAAGTGATCCTTGGTATTGACCAATCGCAGCTCCATCTGGTAACGAGGTTGTGTCTGTGTCTACACTGTACCGGATAGTAAACTGGGCTATCCCCGAACAAAGAGCGCCTGATCGCAGGTTAACCGGATAGCTGTTGCACCGTCACGAAAACCAAATCGGATAGGGCTTCCTTTGACACATGAAAACGGTGATTTCGGTACGGTTCGTGAAATGAGCGGAGCTGCGTCCCTCCGATTTTGAATGTCGATCGCTTCACGTATTGGTTAGGTGGTAATCTTTGCCACTCTTTGGCGCCGTGTGAACAGATGTTCATGTTTCATGTTGACATCTAAAGTTATCCCGTATAGTGTAGACTAACCAGAGTTAGATACGACCTCCGGGAGGGGGAGGGGGGTAATTAGGAATTTTTGGGTGGGGATGTGCCGCTGGGACCCTGGAACCCTTAGCCTATACCAGAGCTTGTTCAGCTGAATTTAGGAACCCTATACTACACTAAACTCCCCAAATCTTCCCTATCCTAGTGTAGCTTTTAGGCTGAGTTGCGTAAATTTAAACTTGCCGATTGGATTTTTTAAACATTTTTGAGTGGAAATTTCTGGTTTCCCTAGTCTATACTAAGATCTTCAACCAATAGATCAGTTTTCTTGGAAAATGACGCCCAATTCTAGATCTATATAGCCCATATATGACAGTACCCTCCCCCCTTGAGGATACGGTATGATATCATATTTTTTTCTCATCCAAAAAAATTCATTTTCATGTCAAAAGTTTGTAGTTAGCCTCAGTTTGGATTAGCGAGGGATTTTGTTAGTTTTCACCATCGACCAGACGCAAAACCGCCTTTCTTTTTCGCGGTTGGACTCGAAGGTTAATGGGGAATTTGTAATCTGATTAAAGGACAATAAAAATGGAACAAAACGACCACAACTATCTTAAGCAGCAAGCCAAAGAAAATTCATAGTTTATTAATCAAATTTGAGCGTAAAAATAAAAATTTTTCTGTGCGCAAAGCCTTTCAATTATTTACATTAAGAGGTCCTTTTTGCTTTTGGAATACACGTGAGGGAGTATTACAATAAGAATTTTAAATCCTGATGTTTACTATATTAAAGTTTTGAAACCGTAAATAGAAGTCGATCAAGACCTCAATGTGTGGGGCTGTCCACACTTGGTGCCCAGGACTCAGTGCCTGGGTACCGGCACAAAATGGTGTTGTGTTCACACTTTAAGTACCCGATATGTAACTGTGTACATAATTACTCCTTTTCGCCCGGTCAGATGCCATTTTGAAACACAAGCTTAGTAGCGAGTACAAAACAGTGGACTGCCCCAGAAGTAACAAAAATGGTGTGCACACAGCACCTGGGTACCCACTTTTGTGCCCTAATTTACAAGGTTTCGGGCACAGGCACTGTGTCCGAATTCCAGCGTGGGTACTTGGAAAAAGGGTGTGTTCACATTGATGTCTGGCGAGTACAATACTTGGTCCGTGCACCGGCAGCAAGTATGAACACTGCCATGCCCCGAAAAACATTCCTGTTTCTATTTTTTCCTGTTATAGAAGTATCGTAAAATTCCGAAAATAAGCCCGGAGCTTATATTTTTCAAAGGCCCTTTTTGAGGGGATTATTTTTGGAGGGGCTTATATTCGGAGGGACTTGTATACGGAGGGAAATTTGCGTTTCAAAATCGGCTAGGCTTATAAGACCTTATAATAGGAGGGAAATATGCGTCTTAAAATCTATTGGGCTAGCTTATGCGTTACGAGTTTGGGGGGCTTATATTGGGAAGAGCTTATACATGGAGGGGATTATTTTTGGAATTTCACGGTACTTTTGGACTCATACTAATCAATGTCTGTCATCTAAAGTGTTTATATTTAGCTTGAGAAAACAGCCGACATTTCGTAGCCCCACCACTGATTTCTTCCCGAAATGACTTCTGGGAAACGATTGCAGAAATTTCATACTGATGATTCGTCACTACCCAAATCAGCCGGGTAGTGCTTCTAATTGGCTGGAAGTTTGCTTCAACCAATCAGAAGCACCATACCCGTCCAAATATGGGTAGTGAAACGTCATCAGTATGGCATTTCTGCGCTCGTTTCTCAGACGTCATTTCTCAGGGAAACCAGTAACTGGCGCGGCGAAATGTTGGCTGTTTTGTCAGGCTTAGTGTTATTCGATTGATTTTCGAAAGAAAACGGCAAACCCTTCTCAGTTTCCAAGGAAACTGATTATCCAGATTATCTATAGTTGGTAATAGGCCGATTGCGGAAGGTTATGTTACCCACTAAACTTAAACTAGTAACATCAAACAATTCTAAAAATCACTGAGTAACTAATAAAGAAGTATACTTCCATGAGAAAAGATGGAGTATGAGAATTGTTTGAAAGAACCTCTAAATTAAGTTGAGTAGTAGATATCTTTATACATGTATCATAAATAGACGCAATAAAGCTTGTAAGCAAAATATGTTATAAATCAAAATTTGCCTAGGTACTGAGATTTCATATTATAACCTCTTATAATCTATAAACCAAGAAAAGGGTTAGAAAATTGGGATAACTGACTTTAGAATCATTAAGTTTTGGTTCGGTGATTTGACAGTTATAAAATACACGCATCTCACTTTAACGTTGCATTATCTTTCAGAACATTTTTTTCAGATGCATGCAATTGAACATGATAACTAATTGAAAATGAATTAAAATTCATGACGCGCGAAGAGAACTGCGGATTATCCTTTGAAGCGTTCAAATATTATAAATGTTGGTTTGCCAACCGCAAGGTGGAACTCCATAATGCCTTTTTCAAATGCAGGTAATGTTGTATAAACTCTTAACAAATCAGATCGAGAAAGTCTACTTACAGAACCAATGTCTTTGTGGAACGAAATCTCAGTACCTACTTCCCCATTACGTTTAGTATGGGGGATATTTATAGAAGGCGCTTTTATACGGTTCCTCGGTTAGATTCCCTTTGCAACATCCCTGGCAAGGAGCCAGCTGGATGCGGCCAGTATCGTAGCCACATGGTGCCTGGTACACGAAGGGCATATATGCCTTTGCAGCGGCCAGCCTTTGATTCAACCTCTGAGATGAGCCACATGAGCTTTCCTTTGCCTCTCTGCGCCATTTGAAACGTCGATTCTTGAACCAAGACTTAAAGAGAAAAGAAAAAAACAAAAAATCCCACTTACAATTGGAAGCTGGACTGTCCCTTACATGGGGTGAATATATATCATATATCATGTCCAGTTACGATTAGTGGAATATTATCCTCCGGGTGAATAAATTGAAGTCTTGAATAGGACTGTTGTCGATAATAACTGACGTTTCGTTACGGAGTCATCTTCAGAGTCAACCGAGTTATATCACGTCAGGTGATGGTATTTCAAACTCTGGTTATTGACCTGTGATTGGTCGTCTTTCAGTTAAGCCGTGTTGCTTTTGGCTATGACAAAGTCTGTAAAGTAATTCTAGTATATTAGAGTTTACTATGGAAATTTCGTCGCCCCTTTTTGTGTTAGAACCAGTGTTCGATCCAGATTCTATTTATATACATGGCAAAAAGGGTTATTGAGTTTTAACAATGGCATCATTATGATTACGTCGAAACGTCCGCTTTACAGTTTATTTCCACTATTTAACTGTGATGGCCAGGCACGACTTTGCTGGGCTCTCGGTCAGAACCTTTCTCGATCCGCTTTTCCTACTATCTTACGGCCTGGAACAGTCTATAATGAGGGGAATAATTGACAGTGGGGAATTAACCTTCGGTTGGAAAATTTTAAAAGAGATGTGAACAATTTTACACTCTGCAAGCAGCGGCATAGGAGCGTGTGCTCACTTTCATTTACAGTCTCCGAACTTTAGAAACATGAAACCCCAAAAAAGTTCAAGAAACTGCTCTCCTTTTCAAGAACAACCTTTTCTCAAAATGTCAAGTGACAAATATTGATCATCAGTTCTCGGAAAGCCTTTCCATTCTAACCTCGTCTACTTCTATTAAGATTACCTCGGTCTCTTTAAATTTAAAAAGCGTCTTGGTTGGTTAAAAAAAACATACCTGTATAGCAACTGGCTTGACACCCAATCTAGCCGCCATGGCATACCGATGCCTTGGTGCAAGGTATGGCGAAGCTGCAAAAGCTTTTTCCAACTCAGCCCTCTGAAAAATGTTAAAAAGGGGGAAAAGAGGGAGGAAAGTGTGGAGAAAAGGGGGGGGTAGGGAGGAAGTGGGGGAGGGGGGGGGGGGGGGGGGGGGGGGGGGGGGGGGGGGGGGGGGGGGGGGGGGGGGGGGGGGGTGGTGGGTGGGGGGGGGTGGGGGGGGGGGGGGGGGGGGGGGGGGGGGGAACGCTGTGAACAAGAGAATATCACGTGTAGAGGGCGTTATGGTAGAAACAGAGGGTGACAGCCATTGAAAGAAAGACAATAAAAAAATGGAAATGATAATGGAGGAGAAGAGGAGAATGGGAAACTCTGCTCTTTTTTTTAGAGAAGCCGGTCAGGGATGGTTTGATTGACTAACGCCCAAGGGATTGGCCTAATAAGACGTGTCCCCAAAAGGCCGTTCCACAAATGATCTAAATGTATTTAAAATCCTGTGCCGCCTAACGTACTTAATTAATCTCTTGTACACTGAATATTTATTGTATAAACGGCCGTCAGTCTTATATCATTTCTTCAAGTATAATGTTCTCCATATGAGAAAGTTTGCGTGCAGTTTGTGAGCTGAATCAGTTGTCAGTTTGAAACTCAAAAACTTACAGCAGGAAACCGCCACCTTAGGGGCAACATTTCCCCCTCGATTTACGCAAATACCCACGAGTTCCAAGCGCCTGTGGCAAACACCGCAATATCAGTCAAGTACAAATTGAATTAATTGTCCCCGGCACGTGCAGCAAACGCATACTGAATTAATCGTTTTTTCCCTTGAGGACGATTTGAACTGAACGACCATAAAATGGAATGAGAAAATTATCTATACATCGTACTGAAATTAGCTATCTATTTGTCTATAGAAAATGGTGGTATCAAATTCAAAGAGCTCTTCCTTTTTCTCCATTCATTGAAAGTTGTTTTTAACAGAAGAGAGACTACAGTCGAACCTTTACTAAGACTACTAACGGCTACTTCTCCACAACGACCACCTGTCTACAACAGTCACTTTTTTGGCGAACAGTCTACACATTGACTCTCGTTTAATCCTCTCCAGAACGGCCACTTTCTTTTGTCCCCAAGGCGGCCGTTGGTGAGGGGTTCAACTGTATTGATGTAGGTCAGCGGTACTCATCTTTGGTTAGGTAAAGCATCATGTATGGGGAATTGTAATGTACCGAATTAAGGGAGTTCTTCCTTTTCCTCTATTCTTTGAAAAATCTTTTTTATCAGAAGAGGGACTATATTTTTTTATATTTAAAACGAAAAGAGAAAGAAGGCATAACTCTTCGAGGCGGTGATTTCCCTTGTTTTCTTTGCCGGCACCATCAAAATCGCACAACTTTTCCGGTGGAAGAGCGAAAAACAACTAGCAAAACAACGGCATGGTTAAAAATAATCTTTGCGCTAAGGAACTTAAAATGATGCTACAATTCAAAGTATCTTTATGGTGTTTTTCCAAAGGGAATTTTATAAGAAATCGTAAATTTAACTTAAGAGAGTTGACACTTAAGAATTTCGAAGTACAATAATTGAATTTTATGTTTGGCATGATTAACTGAAAACAAACTCACTCATTCACTTGTCAGACTACGGTTAAGCGGTTACAGAACGGAACAACATGATTCTAACTAGCGGTGGCTTAATAGACAGAGAGAATAATCGTTCTATGTGATATTGCTCTTTGCAAACATTTTGCCAGGAAGGACTGTGCGCGAGGCGGTATTTTGACTCGCTTAGTGTAACACCATCAAAATGCCGCAGCCACAACTTAAATTTGTAAAAGTGGCGAAAAACAACGTCAAAAACAAATTCATGGGAATTCAATAACATCCTGATTGAATCAAAACTAGAGCGGGAAACAGCGAATGAAATCGATATTTAGTTACTTTTTTTTTCATCAAGGAATTGTCGTCTATTCTCAGTAAAGTCGTCGAATACCAGTTCTCTTATCTTCATAGCTCTGTATAAGCTCCTTAACGAACCCCATGTTTCATTGGTTGAAAAAAACTAAGGGATGGCTCTTGATCTAAACTAAATTGAACTAAATTCTTGGTTCGACTAACGGCCGAAGCAGGCGATCCACTCCTTCAACAAACGGTAACCATCCATATCTATGTGGAAAAAATCCTCCAAAATTTCGTGAAGAACCACCTGTCACAACGTAACGCATCAACTTAATGTTAAGCGCGTGCTGAGCTAGAGTGGCGGTGTGTTTAGTGCCTTTCAAGTTTATCCAGTTTTTAAAATATCTGACTCATTTCGAGCTGAATGTTCAATCAGCGGAACTGGACCGTAGAAAGAAACGGAAACATTCAAATCGCAAGGCGCTTTAGGCTGTTTAGGTTGTACTCAGAACGATTTTTCCGTACATGTTCTTGGCGATAAATGCAGATCTCCTCTCGTTCAGGGCATGAATCACGGTTGAGTTAACGAAAAAAAAAATGATAGAAAAATGACTCACTCTAGTGCTTTGCAAGCTAATCCAATTTTTAAAAGTTTTGTTAAATGGATGTTAAATTCAACCGGCGGAAGATCATAAAAGGAACCGCCGAAAATTCTCGCCGAAAAATTCAGATGTCCTCTCGTTCAGTAAGATCGCAAGTTGAGTTAACAATACAAAATATAGAAACAATTGGCTCCTGCTTTTTAGTTTTTCATTTAAAAAGAAAAATCCAGTGGTAACATAGACAATTCATAAAAATCAAGGAACAACAATTTGACTGATCTTGGTTAAAAGAAAGAAAATGATTAAAACACAAATAAGATAACTTAAGTGATGGATAGCTTTATTAAGCAACGATGCTTTGGAACTTTCAGTTTTTTCTCTGGGAAAAGAAGGTTACACTGACTTTTAAAAACGCCCTAATTTTCTAAAACACCTTCGGCCTTCTTTCTTGTGATGGTCGTTTACCCTTTCGAAACTTTAATTCATTTACGGCCAATTCAATAAAAAGTTCGCAGTTCTAAAAACTGTGAAACATTCCAATCTATCAGCTTAATATAAAATGTACGAAAGTTATCGCATTAAACTAAGCTTAAATGATTACTTACTTGTTTCTTTTTGCTGTGGCTGCGAATTGGCTTCTGACTCATCATCTGAAGAGATTGTTTCTTCTTTTATTGCAAATGGAAGGGCAACTTCTGCCAAACTCTGATTCCATTCTGGCGTCTCGGGGATTTGATCCATTTTAGTGGCTGTAAAGAAAGAAATAAAATTACGAGTTGCGAGGCAACTGCTGAACTTTTACTTTTACAGGGGAAACTCTAATTAAATCTTACTTTTATCTGTTTGTTTCATTTCTAATTGGTTGGTTAGTTGTTAACTTATACCCCTTGGACGAATAGGATTGGATTGGCTCAGTTTGAAGTACGAAATACTACCTTTTTTTGGCAAAGAAGGGATTATTGTATGTAATCAATGCATGAGTTATTGTTTTGAATACATGACGTACTATATCGCCTGTCCTACAATTTCCGATAAAGAGACTGTGACGATAGAAAAATTTAAGTCAAAAAATCTTTCTAAACGGTGCAGCTTTTTTACGAGGAAATTATCTTTGCACTCAGTGCATATAATTTAAAAGTTTTAAAATATAGTCGTTTCAACTCCAGGCTTTACATCAATCGATTAAAAAAAAATTGCTGATCGCCGCCTGACAAGATCCCGCTGAAAGCGCCTATTTAACAATAAGTATTTAAATAACTATCGTAATAAATATCATATTAAGTATCAACGTTCATAGACTAATTTTTTTGCCAGAAAAGTTTGTTTTTAATCGCAGCGCATAGTTTATATTAATCACAACCTGCATAACGCTGTGCATCAAATAGGAAAGAAAGGAGAAGGTGCCTTTCGCAATTCGAGTCATGCCAAACGTCCTAGTTTCTCCAGCCTCCGTTTTTGAACACCTTCTATGCCCTTGCTAAGGAGATGATTAGCCAGAGCAGAGATCCAGAAATTATATAAAATCAGTTCGCGAGTTGCAACATTTAAGGAACTACAAAACATCTTAACTTGCTTAATTAGGAGTTTGCCTTTTCAATTCATGGTAATATTTCGAGGCTGAAATTCTAACAGGCTTCTACAATCCAAAATAATATCGTAAGAAAAACGAACCGAAATAGTTTTAATTCAAAAACCAACAGCTTTTGGTGAATGAATGTGATGAATGTGATGAATGGAGTCGCAATAACGAAAAGAATATATGCTTACGCTTAATTTTTGATTCTTTCAAATCCTTTGTTCACCTATTAAAACTAGTTATTAAGACTTGACTATCGTAGTGGATTTATTGTAAAATTTCAACCTTCTTTTTCGTCCTTTCAAATACCACCAACATATATAGAAAACGCTTTAAAAAAACGAAAACCGATTAAGAGAACGAAAAAAGAAATATAATTTCTCTCTAAATAAGCAGATAAACGTAAAATATTTTTCCCACAACAATCGGGACTTATTCTTTCTTGACAAAAAGAAAAAAAATAGCTGACTCGAGCAGTTTAACGTCTCGTTCAAAAGTTTGTTCTGTTTGTTAAATGTTGCCCTAGGATTCCTTAAGCAGCAGCAGGATGAAATCATTGCATCGTGGTCAGCAAAAACCGATATAGGTAGGAGCACAAAACATTCTTTTCTCAAAAAATTGTCATTTATTATAAAAAAAACTGATTCGGGAAGAGTAAAAAATATTCTCATCGCAATCAAGAGAAATTTTTTACATTTGTGATGTTCAAGACGACTATCTTGTCCAAGACTATCAGTTAATAATGATTTTTAAAACGCCCAACAATCTTTAGAAAACCTGTTGCGCTCATTTTAGTCGCTTGGCGCTAAAAGCGTCCTCTTTTCCATTTCTCGTACCTTTTTGACTCCTGGTTAAGATCGAAAAGTTTCGAGAAATAGAACTATAAAACAAACGCTGCACTTTTTAAACCTTTTCTGACCCAGCAAATTTTAGCTGGAAAGTAACATCAAACGTTTGAATGCCTCCTTACTTGTTTCTGTTTTCTGTGGTGGCTGTGAGATTTCCCCTGACTCCTCATCTGAAGAAACTATCTCTTCTTTAACTTGAAATGGAAGAGCATATTCTGAATTGCTTTGAGTGCTTTCTGACTCAGGGATTTGTTCCATATTTTTGAAGCTGTCTCGAAAATACAGTAGAACGCGGCAGAACTTACTAAACTTCCCTTCTCGAAGGCAAACTCACGTTTTGATACCGTGGCTGTTTAGATTCCAATTGCTAATTAGTCCAGATACCTTTTGCGCCGAATGTGTCTGGATTGGCTCGCTGCGCCTCGTCAAATGCCGAAAAGGGACATTACATAATATCATTGCAAAGAGTTTCATGTGAGTTTGCCGCACGATAGAGCATGTGTCGGCTGACCAAAAGAAGTATATTTCTTACTCATTTTTTCACGTTTTTTCATGACAAATGTTCGTGTAGTTTGCACACGTGATTGACGTTCATACTTTATCTTTCTGGTACCAAGCTCAGTCTTCATACGTCTACATGTACGGTAAAGGAAGGGTCGCT